TATCCTTTCACAAATCTTTTCAATAGTATTGAACAGAGGCTGTAACATTTCAACTATAAGGAAACGTGAAACTGTTATTTCTAGGGCCCTAAGAAAGCTCACAAATGAAAGGCAAGATGACTGGGATCAGTATTTAGATGCCACGTTATTTTCTCTGAGGTCCAAAGAGCAAACAACAACAAAGTACTCGCCTTTCTTCCTAATGTATGGAAGAGAGGCTCGGTTCCCCTCCGAAGTTCCTGTTGAAATGCCGGTAGGGTTCTGCCTATCCTAAGTTTGGAGTAATATTTTTTGGATGTTCTTGTGTATTAATGTAATAAAGGGGTGGTATTATTTATTTATTTTTAGCTTTAAATTATGGTATAATTTTGTTACCTCATCAAAAACATGCCTGGAGTGTTTCTTCAATCCATTCATGCATGTTTGAGGAATTCATTCATTTCTATTGTGCAGCAGTGAGGTGTGCCTTCTCGCATGCTCATATAATGCAACTTTTCCCAACAGAAGGAAGCTTAATATAGAATAAAAATGTACTTGATTGTCCAAAAAATCGATTATATTCTATTGCAAAGCTCAGTTTCAGCTATCATGCAAAGTCAAGTTAACTTTAAGCTATTATTGTTTAAGTAATTCCAAACATTTGGAAGTAATGTTTTTAATGTAAGTGTGTCTTTGCTTTTACAATATAGCTGTCTTCAGTTGTCCTTCCAACAGAGTACAGCGAGTTTGTGAGAGAGCGAGAGGAATTACAGGGGGAGATACACAAGAAAGTAAAACAAAACGTGGAGCGTGTTCAGAGAAAGATGAAGGAAGCATTTTCAAAAAGGGCAAGCAAAAAATACAAAAACTTTTAATTCAAGGAAGGGGATGAGGTTCTCTTGTACAATGCCCGAAAGAGAACAAGGAAAGGAGCCAGAATGGAGCCTGACTACTCTGGACCATATGTCATCCAGGAACTTGTAGGGAAGACAGCTGTGTTGATGACAGCAAAAGGAAACATCCTAAAAACAAAACATAGTGTCAGTCACTTAACCTCCTGAGACCCTGTGTCCTCATAAGAGGACGTTGCATTTTTGTCTCTCTTTACCATGATACTTCTTTTTTTCTTTCAGCTTTGACCTCTTGACCTCATAGCAGATGCTATCAGACACTGTTTGAAATCTAAAGTAAAATGGTTTTATACATTTCCATCCAATCATGTTCTTATTGTGTAATAGAAAAACTGTAAATGAGTCAATGGGACTGTCAGAACAAAATTGTAAAAACATTTAATTAAATATGTATCTCATATATCTTTTAAAAAAAAGCTAAAATGCAAGCTCGGGTCTCAGGAGGTTAAAGCCCTACAAAAGAGGCAGTGAGGCAGAAAATACAGATGGTTCTGCAATGGGAGTTGAGGTGCAAGAGAGGAAGTCTGTAATCAGATACACTGGTAAAACAGAAGTACTGACAGAGACTGAAGACCAGGATCCTTCTGGGGTTTTCCAGTCCCCCCCTCCCAAGTTGTCTCAGTTGTCTCCCTCACAATCTCGTAGGATATCAAAGAGTACTGTTCAGCAACAAAGGTTGAGTAGAATTGATAGACAAACTTACTGTTCTGGCCAGTTGGTCAATTATTTGTATGTTTGCATGTTTGTGAAATGATCTGTTCCTGGTCTTGTCTGCATGTGTTCTCATTTTTCTTCAGAAATAGAGTTGGGGTTTTTTCACATGTATAAGGTATTATTATTAACATGTATAAGGATTAACAATGTTTGTTTTTATTATAGTACTCAAACGTTGGTCCTTAAAAGACTCTGGGCAAATGGAGGCACTGGTTGGGCCATACAAGTAGTATGACACATCTTTCTGAACACTCTGTGGACATGGCTGGCTGTCAGATGAAGTTAGACCACTTGCTCTGTGAAGTTTGTATTTCTCCAGTGCAGTCAGTCAAGAAACTAATTTACATTTTTTTGTTTTTGTTTGTTTTAACAGGTCATAGATGCATATTTGTATCTTTTCCTTGAGAAGAGCCAGGTATAAAGATTCTCTTTAGGAAATCTTTTATCCATTTCTCTTGTAAAAATTGTATCATTTTTTATTTCAGATACCTGTAGAGAGAATGGATGCTGTTGTAGCATCATCAATGTTTCACCGTGGTCAGTATCGGGCTGTTCTTAAAGTAATTATTTGCTATGATATCTTACACCATATGAACAAGAGCTAAGCTTAAGGGTTTTTTCTGTCATTTCAAAAGATGGCGCTACCAGAGGCCTCCATTTGCAGGTGCCCTGTAAATGTGGGAGGTCACTGGCTCTTAGTGGTATGTTAACTTTATTTCTAATACTACATGAATCCAACTTGTTTTATTATATTTATTATGTGTATCTCGGATGTCTCCATCTCCCCCTCACACACAAACGTGTGTGTGTGTGGGTGTGGGTGTGTGTGTGTGTCTGACATACTCGGCCATACAGCCCAGAATGGTCTCTTGCATGTGTAACTCTGGGGCCAAGCATTGATGGTCCCAGCCGAGAATCTGAAATTGATGCAAAGAAATTTCCACATTTTAATTTTTATATACTGTATGTAAACGGTTAGAGCCGAGTCTCTATTGCTGAGGAAATGCGTATGATTAGAACATCTCATTTATGCCTGTAATGTGTACTTGAACCATTTCATTTGATTAACTGCTGTCTAAGATTGGAAAGTTTTTTATTTTTCAATCTTTAGGTTACATTTTGTTTTCAAACTTTGATCCTGGTTCATTTGTATTCATTTAAGCTCTTTTAATAGACGGGGAACAGTTTGATCTGTCACCTGAACGGGAACTGATGGAAGGACCAAGTTCAACTAAACCTTGCAACAAGGAGTGACGAAAAAGAGGGTAATTAATGTCTCTGGGAATGCAGGTGATTGTTCAGAATGGTTTTAAAAAGTAAAAGTTTCATTTCCAGATGACGCTGAGAGTTATGTGACTCAATCCCCATGCCCTATCAAAAGATCTAAGATGAGAACCAAACAAGGGGTGGCTGCTGATTCTGGTAGGAACAATTTAAATTTAACACTTGTACAGTACCTTTTTACTTCTGTTGTGAATAGGCACTGTACAAATCAACAGGTTAATTTAAGATTGACTGAAACAAACACTTAAAATAATTTTTTATGAGGGAAAAATGTTTAATACTATGGAGTTTTCTCTCAGCTTAAGAACTGTATAACAGATTAACAAAATCAAACATCAGAGGTGGCCTGGGTTAACTCCCCACTGAACATTATGGCCACCAAGAAAAGCAGGCAGGATGACGCTAAGCCTGGGCTGAGGCTGGAGAGAAATCCTACATATGGGCTACAAGTGCAGGTTTCCTTATGTTAAGCTACTCCTGATCAAGAGATGATGGTGATTATGAAGCCAGAAGCCTCTTACCTGGGCTCAGGGAAGAAAAGAACTGGACAGTTTAGTGGCCCAGAGTGCTAATTTCAGGTAAAATGTTTTCCATTTATTTGAAAATCAAGGTCCCAGAGTCTGGAGGAGGACAAAAAATTGGAATCCAGTGATTTAAGTCTAATGTGAAGGTTCTATTTAGTTATGACTGTGGCAGGATGACGCTAAGCCTGGGCTGAGCCATGTCGTTAACTGGTGTTGGTCCTCTTGGTTTTATGAAGTACATGCAGCCATCTTTTAGGACATGTTGGAGAACATCATGCCTCCTCTTGCTCACAGCCTTTACAGTGGTGCTGATTAAATTTTTCAGCAGCACTTGGTGGCAGCCCACATTGCAAAAGGTACCAAAAGCTACTTAAAATTGTGCTTGTTTGTCCAGCAAATTGGCCTTTTCAGAAGCCCAATATTGTCAAGAAAATGAGACGCCACACACAACAATGTAGATTGATAAAAGACTTCATCATGCCTCCGTTTAAGCTAAGATCATCCAAATAAAAAGAGACAAGATAATTTTGGATGTAGTAAATTCATTTTTTTGTTTAAGACAAGTGATGAAGAAAATAAAGTGTCCAAAAAAATGCTAATTTGTCAGATGTGCATTTCTTTTGTTTGGAAAATTGTATTTAGTCTGGCATATTGAAAAGTTTTAAAGCTGTTTATTTTTTTTAGGTCCTGTGGAAACCAAAGGAAAGATCCCATGGACTCAGCAGGAGAAAATGGCTGTTCAGCAATTTATGACCAGCTTTGTGGCGATGCGGAAAGTGCCAGGAAAAAACGAATGCATCATGTGCATTGAGAAATCATCTCCTGCTCTTCAGCGGAGGACATGGAAGGATGTGAAATACTTTGTGCACAATGAGATCTTAAAGATAAAAAAGACACTTAAACATTGAGGCATTGTCACTTAAGCAATGTTACTGTTTGATAAAATTCTGTTTACTAAACATTCAGATTTTATAATATACTATGAATCAGGTATTTCACAGGTTTAAAGACAAAAGCAGTTACATTAAGAGGCCATTATAACTTTTTTTTTGAAGATTTTAGTTTATGGCACATTTTAGTTCTGTTTACTAAACCTTCAGATTTTATAATATTCTATGAATCGGGTATTTCACAGGTTTAAAGACAAAAGCACTTGCATAAAGCGGCCATTATAACTTTTTCTTTTGAAGATTTTAGTTTATGGCACATTTTAGTTTTTACTAGATTTTTTTTTTTAAAGAAAACGCTTTAAAAGCTTTATCTTTTATACAACGTTTAATGTTGCAGAGATGTTTTACAATGTCTAGCATCTGCTAATGTTTATATACATTCTTTGTTTCTAGAATAAACATTGTTCACAGCAATATGGATTCTTTTGTTAAAATTATTAAAAATATCAGGGTAATGAATGACCCACAACCTCAAGTTTTCATTTTTAGAATTTTTTGCAGCACAGTATTTGTGTATTCTTCAATGTATTAATCAGTACAACTT